ACTTACTAACTAGTAAGTAAAGTAATAACGTAGTAGTATGTTCTGTCGTGTGTGTAGTTATATATAGTACGTACGTTACTACTATAGTGTGTCGTGTGTGTGTGTGTGTGTGTGTGTGTGTGTGTGTGTGTGTGTGTGTGTGTGTGTGTGTGTGTGTGTGTGTGTGTGTGTGTGTGTGTCTATACATAAGTTTGTGTTCATCCTTCTAACCTTTGAGTTTCACCAGAAAAAAAGTCTCGATATCCTCCAATGGCTTCAATAAGTACAGTTGTAAAATGTGCCAGAAATGTTTGGAGTCCAAGCCTAACAATTAGCTGAAGAAGATAGGACCGATGGTACAGTTTCAAGTGTTTTTGAGATGGAACATCAGGGTCAAAGAGTCGAGTCAAAGTTGGTAAGAGTTTCTGGACAGTCTGTTGAGGTCCAAGTTCTTGTGCAATGACACTAAATAGGTGCCAAGAAGCTAAAAGAGAAGTTTTTGATCCTTCAAATATTTCCTGCAAATATGGTGCCAGTATATCAAGCCCCTCTGGATTTAACTTAGGAAGAAGAGTTGGTAATGTCTTTGCTGTTAGGATGATGACAGCTTCAGCTGATGACTGAATTTCTTTATCATCTGTATCCGAAGGAACAGAAAGAGCAACAGTGGAGTTTAAAATACTAAAATATTTGTTAATTTGACAAAGGTATGAATAAAAGATTGGAAAAGATGATGGAAAAGGGAGGATGCATATAAGTGGCTGTAAAAGCTGATGAGCAGATGGTGGTGGAAGGCCATCAGAGGTTACAGATGGGTAGTAAAACATCCCATTAGAGATCTTTTCTCCAGGCTTGGTTTCTTGTTCATTCAGGTCAACTTGCAATAACAGTTTTAGCACATAGTGAAAACACCTAAAACAACAAAGAAAGCCATATTATGAACTATAAAAACATGTAAAGAAAGAATAAAAGATTTTACTTGTAAAGCAAAATTTCTGAGAAACAACTCAATTTTGTACATGTTTACTCAATTATTTTAATAATAAAATTCAATACACTGAAATAAGTAATAAAGAGTTAAAATTAAATAAACTTACATACATTCAAAAATTAATGTAACCTGCAAAATTAAGAGTTTTTAAACCTAATGCTTAAAAATAAATATCAATTTCTGTTTATTATAGGAATCTAATGGACTCTGTCAGCACCAAGTTTATATATTCAACAATAACCTATTGGCTATTTTAAACAATGACCCCATTTATGTTTATACTTAAAGAAACAAATATGCTGCTTTTGTTGATTCATACAGATACTCTTAGTTAGACCTTAACATGAAGAAAACCAACCAATTAATATTCAGTAGCTAACAGCAAAGTGAAAGTAATAAAATGGGATTATAAGGCAATTAGAATAGTTTTAATTGAAACAGAGAAAAAGAAAAGTCTGTAAACAATATCTTTGGTCAGGTAACACAAAACTAAGATCTCTTAATAAAAATATCAAAAACTCATAATATAAAAAGTTGTTTCACAAAGACTTTGGGAATTATTTACCTTGGTACTTCATGAAAATAAGCTTTCATTTGCCTTTGAATGAAGGAGTACCTTTCATCAAGAGGAACTTTCTTTGGTAAAATTCTTAAACGGAATGATAGCACAATCTCTGCAATCAAGCACCCTAGTACTTTCATATCCCGACTTCTTCTATGGTGTGGACGATCTTTTTCTTCTTCTTCACTCTAACAAATATAAGATAATATGAAATCATGATGAACATACAAATCACAAAATATAACGAACTAGAAAGCAAACATAAAGTGTTATTAATTTTCATGTACGTGAATGTAAACACATTCTTAACACTATTGCTGTTTTTTTTTTTAAACTGAAATATCTATTTACATTCAACAATTGTTCTTCAGGCCTTAGCTTAATTGTTAACATAATGACTTTATAAAACAAGACCTCAATACCAAAGACAGATTTCTACTTTGACTATTTAAAGACAAATAATTATAAGCAAGTCATACATTTCAGAATTCTGGATTATGATCACATGATGGTTCCCATGATTTGGCATATAATCCTAAGTATAACTCCATTGCTTTTATAGATGGAAAACATTTGAGAAGTTTTATAAATTTTATAAGTTAACCTCAAAATGACATTAAACTTTACTACATGTAATCCTAACTATAGGAGTGAGGTTCACTATACTACTGAACATCAATTCATATGATAGTGATAACATTTGTACAGCTAGCAACTCTTGAAACATAGTAATTGTTTTCTTGTAGAAACATGTTTACAGGCTTCATGATTAAATGATAATTAACCTGTGACTTATCAGCTGATGGTACCGTGTTCATGGTTCGTTCTGTGAAGGAGTACAGGGATTCTAATTGATTTAAAGCAGCCAGAGGGTTGTAGTCTTTAGGAAGAACAACTGTTTGATTCTCAGGACGAAAGTCCCCTTTTGATACCTCCGTTGCAAATTGGGGTGTGCTTGGTTTACTTCTGAAATGAAATTTTATTTTAAATTTCTTGAAGTAAGCAAAAACAACCAATATCATACAAAATTAAAATACGAGATTATCATCATACAGACAGAATTGTATCATTATATACATGAATGTCACTTTTCCCACTTTTGACACTACTCTAAATAAAGCATATTGAAAACATTTCACATAATGTTGAATGGATTAGGTAAATATGCACACTTAAATAGTCAGATGCATCAATATAATTCCTCTAGAGAAATGTATATAGGCTTTAAATATTCTCATATATTAGAAGATCTTCTATAACATTCTTTAACTCTCTCACCATGGGTTCAGTCAAATTAACCGACTTTGTAACCATTTTGTACTCACTATAGCTTCCATACTACAACTTTTAATACAGTATGTGTATCTTAAAAAAAAAAATTAGCAGACTTTCTGTGAACATTACAAGTCTTTTGTACACAAAAATTCAGATTTTTCAATGAAGTATTTTTACTAAAAATTTGTCCAGTCTTTTTATTACTAGTCTGAGTGCAAAGTGATTTTCATGTTAAGATCAAAAATACTTTTCTTCATCTCAAAATTCTCAAATTTCATTTGCATAATCTCTAAAACCTCCTAAATAAATTTCAAACGTTTTTTTTCAGTAAAACGTTATATTTTATCTGTCATTTTCTCTATCTTAGCTCTGTACAAGATTGTAATCTCCAAAAAAATCAACAAACAAAATAAATCTGAATTATCCTTTTTTCTCTCTAGAATGACTTCAAATTGTAACATGAAACTACATTCTTTTATCCTAAGTAGCTCCAAGTTCGTAACATTATACATCTATTTATGATTAAATTTTATTGTTTTATTGCCATTTGAACATGTCTAACTTCTATCTGAGCCATTATAAGTTGTAAATCACATAATGCACAGACTACTTGTGAGCATACATCATGAAAAATACTATTATTCTTTATATTATCTTATTTCACCTAAAAGGTTTCCAAGTTTTACATATTAGTTACATTTATAACAATAAACAAAGAGTACACAGGAAAAAAAACAAGAAATAAAGTAATTACTTGGTTCTTTTTTTGTTTAATTAAATAATGCACCAAAGAACACAGAATAATCGCATGCAAATAGCAGACAATGTCCCATAACTATCATAAAACTTTGCTGGCTTTCTAGCTATACAATATGAGCCATTAAAAATTCGGCTAAGCTCGTCAATGTGTTTCCCATGGAATAATGTTTGAATTGGAAGCAAAATGGACAGTTCTCTGTACAGAAAATAATGTAATATGATACATCATTTGATAGATTAAAATATTGGCTTTCTATTGGTTATAAATATCATAGTATTAAACATCAGAGACAACTATTGGCAAATTTTGAACAAGAGGATGTGATAACTGAGTGTGGCAAGAGGGGTCTGATTTTCTATTTGATGGCTCTGTAACCAAATAAGATTGAAGGCTATAAAATTATGCTTTGCTTCAGCAATGGCAACATTATAATAAGTAATTACATTAAATTTTGTACTTCTTGGAGGAGTGGTAAATAGAGAGGAAGGGATGTGTTTAGAGAGAAAATATCACAATTCTCATACTAGGGAAAATTCAGGATTTCTTTTTAACATTGCCATATAAAATTAAGAATTTAAAACTTATATTCTATTAGAATTTGGAATATTAGCTACATTTTATGCTAAAGTTATTCGTATACCCTGATAAGAAAGTAGCTTAATTAAATTTTGAATATCAGTCATGAAAATTCGTAGAAAAGTAGACTGTATATTAAGTGATAAACATAAATACAAACAAGTAGCAAAAACACATGTTCGATGTTGTTGTAGTTTTTGCAGTAAAACAAAACAATGTCTTAATAAGGGTATTGTTAGATTTTAGTTTCCAATAAATAAAAATTATCCGAAATGAACTCTTATTCTAATGACCATTTTATTGTCTTTTTATTTTTCTCTTTTGTAACTAGTGACAATCATTCGACCTAATGTTACATCACATTCTAAAAATTACTTAATCGTTAATTAAACATGGCACATAAATTATTTTAACACTAATCGCAAAGTAAGATATCAGAAACTTACAAACATGAGACATGTGAGAAGTTGGCTTAAAAGCTTAGTACTCAAAATAATATTGATTTGTACCACACTAAAAATGTATTTTTTTCTCCCAGTTTCCCAAGAATACAGCTAACAAAAAATATAGTAATGTTGAGTTAGACTAAAAGACTAAATACTGAAAATTCTCTCATCCCAATCATTAACCCTAGAATTGCAGTCCTTCCCCAAATTGACTTTTTAAAATCACTTTTTAATAATTTTTATTATTTATACTGCTTCTGGGTTCATGACTTTGCTGATTACCGGTCCTCTAATAATATACAAGGCACACACACACACAAACACCATCAACACTAATTAATCCCACTGATGACAAGATTTCATCTTACTTTTGTTCATTTTTACAGTAAATTTTGTAAGAAGCAAAAACATAAAATTATGTAATATGTGGACTTCATGAGTGGTGGATAGAATACAAGTCTAAATGTTCTGACATACAAAGTTCAATGAATAGCTTTTTAAAAACAGTCACTTTCTTAATATAATTTTTCTTTTATACACATGCAAGTTTTCTTTTCACAATTGAAAATTACCCTATTTAAAATGGATGTGTAATTTCTGATCTATTAATAACATTGTTTTAGTTTTGAAAAAGAAAACAAAGGTACATAAGCCTTAAAAAATTATTACATATCACCAAAAACGTTAAGATATTTTTTGAAAACATTGTCAAACTGAAAGAAATTATACAACAGTGATTATTTATGATGAAAAAATGCTAATTCTATTATTTCCTATAGATTACATTTCCATGGGCTAGAGAAGTCTTATATTTAACTCATAACTTAGCTCCAAGAATGAATGACAGTTCTACTTGTATGGGCAGTGTCATTAACTCATGAATGAATATGCTTACACCGATTGTAAATTTATATCTTCAGAACTTAGTATAATTGTAGTTTCTACAGCTGATGGTTACCAGTAAAATAATATTTGAAAGTTCATTTGATCACCAATAGTAATTAGATCACAAAACAACTTGACAAAAAAAAAAATCATATTAAGTGAGCATATTGGGTAGACAGATAACTACCAGGTTCGTTAAAACAAACATGCTTCTACAAACAGTGTCCAAAATTTATAAATTAACAAGATTGATTACTCAATACATAAACTAATCTCCATAATTATGTGAATAAGTCAAAAACATCAAGCTGATATGAAATCTTGGATATAACTTATTATGAAATACAAGTAGCACTATACATAAGAGTTACAATGCGTGTGAAAAGTTGTCTTCTTAGAGTTTGAAGCCTTGGTATCTTCAGAGATAAAATATCAGTACTAAAACACTAATGAATCTGGGTAAACACAGAACACTTATAATTAGACACAAAGATGTAGTATAGTGTTAAGAACATTTAATTTTTCTTGTAACGCAGACCCCTCTGTAAACCTTTGCACCATTTCTAGTTGATATCTACATCTGAAATTGGACATCATAAATCCTACTGTTAATACAAATACAATTTTCTACACCCTGTAAACAAAAATTCCTGATGAACATGATCAAGTAAATCAAATAATAAAACAGATAGGACATAATATTCAATTTCATACCTCATCAAACTAAGTCTTCTTGGAACTTTACTTCCTCCTTCTGACAAACTGTCTTCATCTCCACTCTCCTTAGGGTCCTGAGTATTATTACAGTGAAATTAGGTGAAAATCATGAGAGAGAGAGAGAAGGAAATCCGTTGTTATTGCTTGAATATTTTGTTTTATTAAATATATTTAATTTTGTATTACAAAAGGCAATGAAGTGAATATTCAAAATATTTTCAGCTTCTCATCAAGTATAAAAATACACTGTTTTCAAACTTTTATCAAGTTAACTGTTAAACTGAAATATATATATATATTTTAAATGACATACAAAATAAGATTTAACCAACACATACGCTTCCACTTTCTTTCTCTGTGTTGTCTGCAACTGTTTTCTTCTTAGCTATTGCAGGAAATAATAACTGAAACAAGGTAAATAGTGTAATCAAAATGTATTTAAAATGAAATATATCACTAATATAGAACATATTTATCTTTAATATATTTGCATTTCAACAACAAATGTCTGGAAATATAAAACAAGGTTATGATAATTCATAAACTCTTCACTTTGCATCGAGCTTCATCTGCCAGTTTTTACAGCTTCATTTATTCATGGTAATTTTTCCCAATACATCCATTCATAACTTTATGCTAAAAAGGTGTACAAACATTTGATGCTGAAATAATTAAAATAACCAAAGCTGCTTTTATGTTGCTTAACATCCATTTCTTACAGATTATATTAAAACAGAACATGGAACTTCTATTACTGCATGTTTTACACAAACTTAGAATCAAAGGCTAGATACAGCAGTAACAAATGTGTTATTCTAATTCTCTACAGGATATATCACGAAAAAAAGAAAAGGAAATAATTTTTCACAAACTCTAAGACTAGACACTTTCATTCAAAACAATATATTGAATATTTATTCAAATACTCCTATGTTTTTTCTTTTTCTTTATACAGATGGCCTTAAAAGTTAAACTGTCTTTAATGTGTAAAAGAATCATTACAGATTTGATTTTAACATGTGAAATCATTGTTCATAATCCCAATTAGTGAAAACATAACTTCAGGCTTTAATAGAACGATAATCAGTAGCCATGTATATTACATTACCATCATCAGTCCAGATTGTCAACTTATTGTCATAGTGGATAACAGTATTGCGATATTTAATTCATTATTGTTTTATAGTGCCAATTCAATTGCCTATTAACAATTAATGTAATCAATAGCTTGAAAGATATATATATATTATTCTAAATGTTGGTACTCTTTACCAAGAACTGAAAATAAAACTCAACAAATAAGATAGCCCACAAGGATACTTTCTTTGTGAAATTTGTTGATATTTCATTACAAACTATATGAATATTCATGTCAATAAATATCTATACACACCACACTTGTTAGGGAAAATTAATTTCCACAGCTAAATTGAAGCAGGGTTCTATCTGAACTAATTAACAGGGATGCTCCAACTTAAGATAAAAAAACTACTGAATTATAAGGCTTCAGCTATATTACTGTCACATTTTATTCTACGGTGAATCATAAAAGTATATTCTGCAGTAAAGAAAATTAAAACTGGACCTGCACAGTCAACAGTAGTTAGCCTACAGGTGAGCACAAAATATATGATGTGAGAATTAAAAAGCATTGGAATTCTAAGAAAATACAAACTGATTATAATAATAATGGAATCATGGATCTGCAAGGGTAACTTACCTTTTGAGAGGGTAATCTAAAGGTTTTTGGAGCAGTTCTACTAAGGTAATAAGAAGGTGTAAGCTTATGTGGATGAGGGTGAGTAAAAAGCTGAACCATGCCATTGTTCACAATAGTTGTGTGTTGGTCCACAAGGGGCAAGAATACATTCTTTGACTTAACAGCTGCACTTCCTGATAACTGGATAAAATAAATTCTTTAGAAAAAAGATACAAGCTTTAACAACCAATTAAATATCCCAAATTAAAAATAAATCTTTCGTAATATATTTCAACTTGAAATTTTTTGAAGGACTAGCTTTACACAAATATGTATAAATGAGGTTTTTCCAAGCTTTATCTTTCTTGCTCCCTCACTAAAGAATTTAGTATTAACTTTATTTTCTGGTTGTTTACAGAGAACACAATGAAGGATAAATAAGAGGTGATTTTAATACATGATTTTTGAAAGACTAACACTAAATTTTAATTCTTACGAAAAACATATGTTGTATGTTTTTTATTAAATAAAGTTAACATTTTCTTTACACTGAAAATATATTTGATAGATAATTACTTCCTGTCACACAAAGCCATCTCGATATTCTTCCTGCCCTCTAAAATCTGCTAAAAAATTTCCATTCTCAGTGCACTAGTCTATATACCCCATGAATTTCCTGTCATTTTTAAACATGAACATATAACGTGACTATATGTAAGTACCAATTGGAAATACATTTTTAGTGCAAGAAAAATGTTAAGTTCCGATACAGTTTTACCTCCAGATTGAACAGGTGTGCTTCGAGATGAAAATAAAGCACACTTGTGGGGTATCACAATACTTCTCGAACAGGTAGGCTCTTTGCCCTTGAAGTACGAAATTAATCTGATATGAGCAGAAAAAAGGATGTGCACAAGTGTAATTTGTTCTGAGAGGTGCAATCCATAGTAAAATATAAACCAAATTAGATATGCACATACACAACCTGAACCAGAGAGATAAGATTCCATAACATGTCCTCGGTATTAAGAGGTTGAGGATCAAAAAAGATAAAAACAAATATATTGTAACATAAACATGGTGGCTAGGGCATGTGGACCATATTACATACACTCATCAACCTCAACCATAAGTAAACAGAGTGTCATATGTCAAGCAACCGAAATTACAAATAGGAAGTTAGCTTTCAGCCAAAACCAGACAAACTCCCAAAACCACTGTAGGAGCAAGAAGTACCACAAACAAAACCCAGCATTACAGGGTCATTGCATTACCTGAACTCAACTTTAAGAACAGAGTAATATCTGTGATCAGTATTAAGAGCCAAAATCATAAAATCACTTAACCAAAAACACAGGAAAGAGATACCTTGCATCCAAAAATACTAGAAGGACATGGAACATTCACTCAACTGTAGGAACAGTGTACATATGTTCTGTTGTTGGTATTACAAGGCAGACAAAGTCCCCCAAACTCAACTGTAGGAGCAGGAAAAGAACCTTCTGTAACCGGTACTAATGAGAAAGGGGCCTCTACTGCACACAACCATAGGAACAAGATAGTATCATACCAACCCCAGAATTATGAGGAGGATCTCATGTAGGTTGGAATAAGTCCAACCTACAGCTGTCCACCTGGGGAAAAAACAGTGGACCTGACAAAAGTCATGTTTGAAAATGTCAGGTGGTGATGTCTGGATGAACAATGTCCAACCGAGGTTGATGGAGTAGAGACTGAGACAAAGGGAAGGGGAGGTTGTACAAGTAAAAGACAGAGTAGAGAGAACCATGGTTGCAGAGGCCAATACTGATCACAAGTAGGACTATACATGGAGTGGTTTGGATTAGGGATAGAACTCTGTAGAGGAACAGAGGGAACCGTGGTTGGGCCAGCCAATATGAAGCCATTAGTAGGGCTCTGGAGAGGAGTCAAATGGGGGGGGGGGGCATGGATGTGATAACCCTTCCGATCTTGACTGAATGTGTCCACCCCACAGTTACAGGTGTGGAATGTGAGACCAAAAAGAAAGAAGTTTGGTGTTCTAATGGGTGGAGAAAGCATCAACATGAGGTGTTTTCAGCCAAGAACACACCCACTGAAAGACCTGTGGATCAAGGGACTACTCCATGGGAAGAATCTTATTGAGTCAAGACAAATAGAAAAGGAGATCCAGAGTCTGAAAGCATAGAGACCTGGATCTGGTACACCCTTGCTTGGTGATATAACTGACCCCTATGGAGATGTTAGAGTGTCCTATAACCACATTCCCTCACAGGAGAGGAAGGAAGTGGGACAAAGCTTGAGGAACTGCCATAAGTTTGAGAATGTTGACATGGAGAGAAAACTCATAAACCGACCAGAGACCACAAATCTCCTGAATGTGAGGGTAAGCACCCCAACCCTCTAAAGATGTGCCTGTGAACAAATGTAAATCCAGATGAGGTGGAAAAAGCAGAACCCTCACCATGGTCTAGTCCCTGTCTAGCCACCAAGGGGAAAAGGGTGGTCCAAAGGATCCGAGTAGAAGTTCCACTGATCGAGGAGTGTATACTGAAGGGTACACATATGAGCTCAACCCACAGGAATGAGAGCTTCCAAGGAAGCCCACATCCCCCAAAATAGATAAAACTGAGAGAGAATGTGCGGTGAAGGCCTTGTGGACTGCTTGCTCCATAACCCGAAGACAAAGAGGAGAAGGCTGGACCTGACTGAGGTTGGAATTGAACAAAACCCCAAACGAACTCAGTAATGAGTGGGGGTAAGAACAGACTTCACCTTTATCAGGAGTCCCACCTGTGCTGCTTCTTCTAGGAGCAGACACATCAAGTGAAGTTGTCAGGCAAAAGTTCTTACCACCTGACAATATACATAACAGTTGAAATTAGTCCAAACAGTAGGGCCCTAAAGTAGAACACTTGACTTCTTTCTATAAATAACTGTCAATGATGTGGGTACTGTGGGGACAAACCTCAAATTATAGAGTATGAAGAGAAAATTTAGATTCTAGTATCAAGAACGTAGGAAATGTAGCCAAAGCGAACCTCAGCCCTATGAATGGAGAAAGAATGAACACGTTAGTGATGTAGCAAAGCAAAATAAATAAAAATTATTCATATAGAACAATGAATTAGATGTTATTAGTTGGAATGATAATGTAAAGTACAAAATATCTAAATATACATAGTTGACAAAGTACTCATTAATATCAAACTGACAAAACATCAAAATTTACCCAGTCTATAAAGTACGTAATAATAACAAACATGTAAACCAGCTAAAATAACCTATAAAACAAAGTAATAATCAATATCTAACATACAATAAATTGAAATTAACTTGGATAACAGAGAACACATAATTATCTAACTTACCAAAGTCTGAGCACTGACGATGTGAAATACTTGATTCTCCTGTGCGTAAAGCAAAATGAGGCCACAAAAAGGGCATCTGAGCTGCACCTACCATGGGTATCACAAGCAGGTGCAAAGTGTACAAGTTGTAAAACTTACTACCAATCCACTGGGAGATCTGGAAGCAATAGGAAGAAAGGAGGAGAAGGACAAACCTCTGCCCAAAGTAAATGACATGGAGTCATGATTACAGGAGCAAGAAAAAGAAAACTAGCAAAATCACTGTCGTCTAGAACACATAGTAAAATTGAATATGCATCGACCCAATAACCAGCTGTAAAAAAGGGGGTGTGGAAGGTGAAATATCCTGAAGTGTGGAGTGTGACAGACCAAAATAAAGAGATGCCAGAAAATGAATATCTAACTTGTCTTCTCCTTGATTGTATTCTTCCTCAGCAACATTGTCAAGTTAAAAAGGATATGAAATTGCCAACTGAACATATGAATCTAGCTCCCTGCGAATTAAGGCCTGTACCTCCTCTGCAGGTGAAGTTGTACTTTATTCCTGGGAAGTCATATCAGTAGCAGAGTTGACTGTTACGGAAACTACCACAGTTGATACATTGAATCGGAAATTCATACAAAGTTCTTCTATAATTTGGTGACAAGAAGAAGAAAAAAAATTCAAAGGGCAAATAAGCACAATCATAAACAGTAGCCACATGTGAAAAAAAACACACATTTAAATGAAGCTGTGCCAATCAAGAAAGTGAAGATTGAGCAGAAATAGCAGAGGAAGCTAGCTGCACCAATATAGGTGATGCAATACTATTGGTGGAGAGTAACCACTGATATATACATGTTCAAAAATGCCACACAATTCATGGGGTATATAGACTTGTGCACTGAGCATGAAAATATTTCAGTAATACTTAGATGGCAGAAAGAAGATAGAGATAGTTTTGTGCAAGAGGAGGAAAGACTGGATTGAAAAAATATTTATTTGAGGGTAAGATGACAGTATCACGAGTTCAGATAGTGATTTCATATGCATATATTTGTTTCAAAACTGTACTCTGGAAAATATGAAACATCAAATATTACAATCTTTAGGCTTTATATCCATGTACATAATATACATCTTTCCTTATGTTCATATAGACATAATAAATAACAGACAGTACGACTATTCTTTTGTGAAACAACATACTACATTTTTAACCAAACCTTTGAAGTGTCTAACCATAAAAACATCATAAATTGAAAGAAACACCACACCCGATAACCAAATGTAAGATCAATCCAATGATGAAGCTTCTCTGAAACATGGTCACTTTCTAGAGCAGCTCTGTGTTTTTCAATAAAGTCTTCAGGATCATCACACCACCATGGAACTCCCAAGTCAGGAAGGTCATCATGAATGGAATAAAATATGATAGGATCAGTATAAAATTCAGGAATGCATTCTTCAGGGGTCCACTCCTAGACAACAAGACAAGATTTTTTTTAAATATGTTTCATTAGTCATCAAGATTTGGATATAAAAAATCCAAGTAAACAACTACACAATATTTTACTACCAGTAAATGTCAAATAAAAAATTTTATTTTATCAAATATACATGTCAAACCAATTTCCTATAGCAAATAATGACACTTAGAAAAAAAAAAACCTTTATTTCATTTTGTGTTGAAAAGGAATCAAGTTTTCTATGATGACAAAAAAAACAACAAATAAGTTTGTAATAGTTTCTTTTTCTCAATTATTCCTAAAAATTTGACTTAATTGCTGTTACAAAGAGAATTAGAACATAATGTCATTGCTTAAAAGTCTGTTACTGTTCAATAAGATAATAGTACACACATATGCTTATAATCAAGCTATTAGTTTAATCATCATTGGCTGACAATAATTCCAGGCCTATTAATATTAAACATAGTAAAAAAGTACCAGGAAAAATATTATGTGAAAATGTTTCAAGCTGAAGAAAATACCAATGATTCTGTGAGACAACTCTGAAAATGTTTAGATAGGCCATTCAAGATCTTTTGCAAGTATTGTATTCAACCACGGCAACTGAATTAGAGAATATTTTTAGGAAAATTAACTATAATATTGGAAGACAGCAAGAAACAGATATGTTATTAAATGTGAAGGAAAAAACTCCATTGGAAAGTGATCACTACAAGATGTATATTAGTCAATACCCAAAACTACTCTTGAAGGACTTAAAAACAATTCTAAAAACTTTTTAATATCTAGGAAATGGAAATCAAATTGGTTGTCAAGACTTTCGAAAGTCATTTAAAGGTGCTGTTAATCATTTGCATTGTCTAAAGGTATGATGTGAAAACAAATGAAGACATGGTTGTTTTCATTTTTAACCAGAAAATGTCATAACTTTCTCGGGAAACAAAAAAATCTTTCATTGGATGGTGCTGTTGTTAATTCCTCTGTAGTTTCACCAATAGGCATGTTCTTGACATACATGACATGGTCTGATAGTGAACATAAGAAATCAATGAATCAGACAGCATTCCTTGAAACTGTCATTAAACTAACATCAGGTAGCATCAAATCTCTCACAGACATCACTTATACAGTAAACTAGATTACTGGACAATTACATAATGGATTCCATGTAAACGGTTATTCATAAAGTTGCTAAAAGACCAGAGCAAAAAAAAAAAAAAGTTCCTGAAGGGAGTTACATAGTGCCATAATTTTATATTATTTTTTTTAATGACCATTTAAAACTTGAACACGATTGTTCAGTGATTTCATTGACATTAACCAAAATTTTGATGAAACACAATGTCTTGAAGAAAGATCAAAATATTTTCTTTATCTTAGAATTTAATTTATATTATTATTACAAATCAGAAAGTTCCATTTTTGTTATATATATATATATATATATATATCAGTCGTTTCTAACTTACTTGTATATTCTATTAACTATATTTCTTTTGTATACTTTATCTTGCCAAATCAACAGTCACCATTACTAGCTATAACTCAAAAAACATGGCAAAAACTGTTAAAGGTTTATTGGCAACCTATGCCATCACCTTTCAAAATGGCATCAGCATTACTTTTATCAGGCTAGGTATCATGTTTTCCAAAATTATTCTGGGTCAAAATTACTTAAATAGTTAATTAATTAAGTTTTGAATGTATCTATCTAAAAAAGTCATGACATGCTCACTTTGACCTGCCCCATGATGATAGGATTAAAAAAAACACTTATTTGCTTTATATTGATATAGATAAAAAAAACTTTTCCACTCAATTACTTTTTTTATTCACTGACTCCAGATATTTTAAGAGCCGAGTTTCATTAGCAACTATTCAGATCACCTGCTGACATCATAAAAAAGATGGCAAACAAAGGACTGTAGTAATAAAAACCAGACACAGAAAGAAACTATGTGATAAAAAAACAAAACAGGAATCATTATGTTCAAGGGATAATAGTTCTGAAATAAATATAAGTCTATATTTTGGGATGGACAGAAAAATTATAAAAATTAATAAATGCATTGTTTATGGGCAAGAACCCATGTAACTGCACAAAAGTGAAAGTTAGAGCATTTTATCTGTACATGTATTTGTGAATCAGTAAATAAAGGTTATTCAATTATAAAATATCTTATAAAATAGTTAGAGTTAGAATCAAATTTTACTTACACTTTGAAATTTGATACACAGATATGCACTTGCCACCTGAAAAGGTGCTCACCAGTTTGGATAGGGTTAAACACATACCAAACAAGAATGAATATAATCACAAGAACACAGTCTGCTTGGGTTGCAAGTTTTGTTGTTCCAAACCCAACTATGAAATTATCCAGTTATGAAATAACTACAACTGTTATTGCTGATATTCAGGAAAATTTAATCTCTTCAAATAAGACTTCTGATACCCTGGTTGTTGTAACTGACTTTAAGATGAAATTCATAGCTAAATATTTCAAGGAGAGGAAAGGAAAGCAGGGGGGGGGGGGGAAGAGATAATTAAATAAATTAGCATAGAGCAATGATGCAGTATTATTTCTGGAATAAAGAACTGGGAAAATTTTATACCATAACTTGCATCTCCATTCACGATGTCATAAAAACACGCAAGTTCAATAAGTCTTGATACAAATTTATAAAAACCCTATAACCTGAGCACTTTGGAAAGGTAGACCTTACTTCAGGGGCAAACTTCATGATACCTTAAAAGGCAGCAGCAAGCTAGGTGCCATTCCTTTGCAATTTCTCTATTAAAGTCCTTCCTGATGCATATCAAATGCAAATTACACCACAGGCTGTGTTACAAAAAGTGATCATATGAGCAACAAGGTCTTGTTTTAACTATCCTTTCATATAAAATTGGAATGACATTTATTTGATTTTCATACTGAAACATAAGATTGCAAGTCTATTAGATAGCCCTTCCACCAGCTACAAAGGGATTCATAGTTTCATTCAATGCAATAACTATATCTCAGCTTGTTACTGCATCACGGCTAAATAGCAGAATTCTAATTGCAGTTGCACAGCCAGGGTATTGAATGTGTTTAAAACTATTTCTATGATGGTAAATAAATTGAACAAGTATGTTGGACAAATGAACAATTTAAACTTTATATTTTTCAAGTGCATTTGAAAACTGAAGCAAGGAATCAGAAGTTTAAGAATTCTTGTCCACTATTTCACTTAAATACTTATTATGTCAGCAATAGTAAGTTATTAACTAAATCTGAGGATAAACTGTGTGGATTGGTCTTATCAAGAAGAAGTCTCAAATCACTATAGAAATCCAGAAAAAACAACAACAATTTTTATTAATGATGAGAGTAGTGTCTAAAGAGAGCAGTAATAAATAAGAGGAAATATAAACTCTATGAAACTTCTCTAAAGTATTCTCATAGTAATTTTTAATCAGGTATTCAAATAATCTAGACAATACCTTGTGCTACATGTAAGGAAGCTTGAAATGTCATGTTGAGGTATACTTATCTCACTGAATGACAAGAAAGAAAAAGGGAAAGACCAACTATCCACTGCAAATGGAATTGCTGTACAGTTACAGTAGCCAGAAGCTTTAAACATTGCAGATGAAAAACAAAAACATTACGAAATGCATGTTCCATGTAACGGTTATATAATGCCTGTAACATTCAAAGTTGGATGGATTTGTTGGTCAAAGCATAAGAAAATGTTATGGATTACAATACATCTCATTATCATAAGAGTGGTCAAATCTTACTATTTGGGTAGAAAAGCGTAGCCCTAATGTTTATTCCAGTACTGTTTAGTATATCTTCCTTTTCTCTAGTCTATTAGTTCAAAATTAGGGATGAGTAGTGTGGATAGCCCTTTTGTAATTTTATACAAATATCTGAAACAATTCCTTGTTAGAAGTTGAAACTCTTGGTAAATCATATCTACTTGAGTATTTCATTGAGAGTTAAAATTATATGAAAATCACTATCAGTTTTAGTGATAGTTTTAAGCATTTTAGTCTAAATGGCAGAAAGATAAAAAAATTAGTATACTACAGGATATAATTATGCAAGTGTTTATCACTAAATTTTAGTGAATTTGGCAAATTCAGGTTTAATATTTATCATTCTTATTAGATAATGTTATTTTTAAGTATTCTCTAAAATATTTGTAGAAGATATCAAGATTTTATATCAAGTGAGAACACAATTCAATTATTACTACTAGTCTGTAACATGATGTACTCTAGCATATTGAGTTACAGTTACAACTTTGCACTTAGGTACTATATAATAAGCTTTTCTGAACAGTTACCTGTAACTGATTGGTTTTCTGAGATAATCTCTTTCTATAATAACTATTAACTAACCTGTAACCGCTGAACCGAACTGGGATATTCACCGGGTACCCACTTGGAACGAACATGCTGACAAAGAATCGATTTAGGCATTCTTCTAGCCATATATACATAATAAGTAATGTCAGAGAGGACATCTGATACATGATGAGGAACCTGACAATTTGGAAAATTAAGAAAATTATAGCATTCCATAAATAGAAATCTACAGACATAATAAAAATATACATACTTTATCAATAAAAATAAAAGCTTGGTAGCAATAAAAAATAACTTTTGAAAACATTGACTTACATTTAACATTTAAATTAAAAAAAAGAAGTTTTAAGCCCATGAGCATTCAAAATCACAACAATTTCCATTTGTCTAACAATGCAAGTTAATATTGCTTGAAATTCAGAACTTTAGCTCTCCTTGTTTAGAGAAACATGCACTATTAAGTAAGAAACCAACTAAAATCTTCACAGCTGGGAAGTTTGTCATTGTGCAGCCTATCACTACCTCTGATTAATAAAATTTGTGAGCAAGAGGAAAGCTTTGGATATTACTCTTGAATGTCATTTATTTTATTCTATTTTTGGCAGATGATTTGCAATTTACAGTTTTATTGCATAATATCCAAGTTCTGGTATAAGTACCAAAAATTGAGATAATCAGTATATTTAGAGATATGATACAGACAGCCTTACTATGGTCATTATTAAAATTGAAGATCAAAATAAAAAACATAGATACTTAAATTACTGAATAACAAACAGTTTCAAAATACCCTAGCAAAAGGACTGAAACATTTTGAGGAAGTTTAAAAATATATGAGGCTAGAAAACAAACAACAAGATAATGAAACTGTCTGTACACATAGTAAGAAAGAAGAGGTAGAATAATTAAAAAAGAAAAATAAGGACCTGAGAAACACTGCCAACAAGTTCAAAATTTCTTGTGCTACTACTGGTATAGATGGAATGGCTAACTGCAGATTCATAAGTCAGATCAAGCTGGGTATCACCTTTAGTTAGACGGAACTTAGATTTGGAGAGGTCTCGCCAACCTCCCACTGGGATAGAAAAATCCATGATCCAAGGTAAAACAGCATGATACTGAGGATTACCAACTTCTCTTCCAGCCAACTTAAAACAAAAAAAGTTACTTTTATTATAATATAATCTTGTTAGAATGATTGATACTAATATCCAAGTCTTTCTACACATTATTTATAGTTCACATTATTATGGAGTATAATCTTTATCTACACATTTATCTTACACATAATTACTTATAAGAAAATTAATTATATCTGTCTTTGGAAAGTTAAAATCACCACGAAAAAAAAAAAAAGTGTTTTCCTCTTACATACAGATGTAAAAAAAGTTTCATTAATTATGCACATCTTTAAAGATTCTTATTACTAGTGTGAAACAACCATAGTTAGGTGAGATATGCTTCATTAATACACACTGCCTATAACTAAGTTTTAAAATGTTTGTAATTTTTGCATTTTTAAACATAAAAATTATATTTGACTTTCAAATCTACAATACAATCTTCAGATTATACCATATTGGGATTCATTATATTACAATTAAAGATATTTTTTTTATACTGAAAATGAACAAAGAATAATGAGAAGAGGATTTTAAATTAATCCACTCTACCTTTTATTATAAGACAATTTTGGTGGAGGGTCATACTACACCAACTATGTTTTTGGAAAAACTAATTTGTTTAAAAAAGTATATTATTACAAACCAAACCTTTCATCAAGTATTAGAATATATAATAATCTCTATGTTGTTACAAAATACAGAAATTAATGATTAACAAAACTGTCATATAGACCCCTTCCTCACTATAGTAATTTAAGCTTAAATACTGATAAAGTTTCAACTTTCTACAAACCTTGTTCAACTCCATCAAGTAATCAAAATTAGTTAACCATCCACGAACCCAATGGTCTACAAGTGTATTAAGATATTCAACTTTGTTGAATAATACTTTTTCAGTACTTTGTTTTTTGCAATATGGGCAATCTACAGCTCTATTTGTACATTTATAGTGAAGGGAATCTTCTCCTTTAACCTCACTGTGTTGTACTATACTACATGGAATGTCATATGGTTTGGTGGAATGTGAAAATGTAATGGAAAGTTTATCATCATAAGAAGCTTGAGTGTTTTCTGTTCTAGATCCTAGCTTTCTTTCAAAGTCCTCGGCTTCCTGCCATAAGTATGGCCACGGTCGAGGTGTCACAGATATCCACAAGTTCTGTTTGATGCCTACATCTGCCAAAGTGATTTCTCCAAGATGTAGTCCCAAGTCATGGAGTGTACGAATCACATGTAAAAGTTGGTATACTACAAATAAACACCGAGACGAAGAACTACCCAATACTGCAGGGCTAAACCTCACACAATCTTGTAAACTAAAAGCATTATGTCTTTGGATAATACAGAAGCAGGCTTCACTCTCCACAGCACACAATGCTGAAACAATGTTTGGGTGACAGTTTCCTGTTAACAAAGAAAATGCTCAAATAGTTGAAATACATTATATGATCAATAAAGCAAGGCACATAAAATGTATTTTTCAGTAGAATAAAATAAGCAAATTTGAAAGAAAAAGAGAATCAAATTATTAAGCTAATATAGTATGGGAGCTTTTAGTTTATTATGCTAAAAAGAAACTTAGATTTTCTAAACTATTTCAATGGTTTACAGTTAACTGACTACCACAGTGACATATAACAGATACATACATGTGCATAATAAATTCATGAATATATCACTACAGTACTATATCTTATTAAATGCCTAATCAATTCTGTAAGTTTGGTTACATGAACAAGTTTTCCCCCCTTTTCATTTTACTCTGTATATGTTTATATTTATAAATAAAGTAAAAACTGATGCTACAATAAGAAAGAAAAAGGTTAGAACAGTATCTACTAATGATATGTCAAGTTAAAAATAAATATTCTAAAGAGGCTTGATAACATTAGCCCTCTCACTACAGACTTGGTCAAATCAACAGAGTTCACAACCCCCAAATTGGATATATAAATCCAACAACAAAGCTACCATGTCAAACTGAAGTTACAGGGATTTCCTTTCAACTGAGACATTGGTTTGGAGAGAGTTTAGACCTCCCAAAATGACAGATTGAGTAAAATAAAAAGTGTTGTATATTTTTCAGAGAAATAAATGATAAATCAAGAATACACAAAATCCTAAGCAGTTTTAAAATACTTCAGTATGATAACAGCTGTCACATTATTAAATATTTGATACACCACCCTTATTCAGCCTGTTACTCCACAAGTCAAATTAATTTCTTCTAATTTTATGGGCCAAAATATGAATAATAACTAGGGTACAAAAGTGATGAATCAACACATTCGAAAATCATTACAAGTTTGTTTTATGGCACTGCATACTCTGAGACTAGTATATTAAATCAACTATATTAGATATTGATTTAATTTATTTTTTTTTAAGTTCTGACCTACGTAAGTGGCTTCCTTTGATCAGAAGTTA